GTGTGAGTGTGAGTGTGTGTGTGTGTGTGCGCGCACGCGCGCGTGTGTGTGTGTGAGTGAGCGTGTGTGTGTACGTGTGTGTGTTGCTCTGCTCTGCTTGGTTTCTGTGTTCAGTAGTTTAGAGTTTTTGTCCTCAGAGCTTGTTCTGCCTTTAGCGGCGTTTAGAGTTTCCAGATGAGACGATCAGGTTCGGAGCGCAAACGTCCTGCTTATCAGCGCTGTCTCACACCAACCCAACCTGTTTCTCAGGTGCCTTCTTTTACTGTATGACACTTACTATCGGCACTTACTATAGTTTCATTATCATTTTCATTATTTATTTTTTCTAATAGCTAGATTCATGTTGCTAAAACATGCAATAGAAGAAACAGCTTTGAAGAAACAGTCTGGTCAGAATGGCAAGCTCCAATCAGACTGTGACTCTTTTTTAGGAAAATAAAGCTACATTTGGTCCTAATATGCAATTTTGCATTTTTAACACAATTTAGTGTAAAAGTGTCTTATTTTTGACAGTCTTATCGAATAACGAGTCAATAAGATGTTAAAAATCTGCTTTTTCTTCCAGTTCATCCATTATACAGTGCATTGCATTGTGGGATACAGAAATGTTGCACTGAAATGTATCTGTTTCTCTGTATCTCTCACTGTCTTCCCTCATTCTGTCCATCATGACTCCCTGTAGAGTTGGATTCGGATGAAAGTTCAGATGAATATGACGAGCGTGAGCCCAGCAGAGACGCTAAACTCATAGAAATGGCCAGCAAGGTGCGTCAAGAGCCTTTCACATGCTGTTTTATTCCCAACACATCAGAACTGTCCAATAGCGACAGACGCTGTATGATTGACAGCTGCTTCCTCCAATAGATGTCCTTGATGGTTCCCAAGGTAACGAAACCCCGTTACAGCAGCCTGTGCAGCGACGACGAGCTACTAGACGATGAAACCAACTGTTACGAGTCAGTGTCCGAGAAGTGAGTCACTTTTATTTTTCTGCTGTCAGCGATTACGCAAATGTGTACGTTCCTGAATTGTTATTGTACAGTTCAGTTTAGTTAGTTGTCGCTGATTTGTTAATAGGAGAAATTCATGTCATGTTGCAATGTGATAATGTAACACTTCTCTCTTTTGGTGCTCTCTCTCAGACGGGGTTCATGGATCGAAGATATGGGTTCGATCTCCGGCTCTCAGAACAGCATCTACCTGCCAAACACAGGCCACGTTAGTGCTCCGCCGCCTCGGGAAGACCTCGACTCCACCAGCGTCCCAGTTATTAAAGTGGGCTGGCTGGACAAGAATCCTCCTCAGGGGTGCGTGCGTGTTTTGTTTTCACACTGACTTTTGAACATCTCAAGATTTCATTTTTTGAACCGGTTCTTTTATATGACTCATTTGAACGAACTGATTCCCTAAACTGAATCAGAATTCCCAGCCATAAGCATAAAACACATCAGAAGCTGCATGCGCGATGTACACGTTTTTAAATATTTCAGTCTTTCTGCATACAATTAATTTGTTTCATGCCATTTATTTGTAGTTAATTGTGAAATGTATTAGCAGTTCCTGAGTGAAGTGGAATGGTTTATGGTTTAATCTGAGACTAATAGACAAATCTGTCTTTTTTATTTCTAAATCTTGAGTTTGATTTGGTCTTCCACATGATTCTGTGAAGAGGCGTCATGTCAGTCATGTCTTCCAGATTCAGAACAGCAGCGATTCTCTTAGCTAAACCCATATTTGTATATTTTATGAAAATATCTATTTAATATTTATTAAACACAGACTAGCAAAAAAGATGTGAGATGTCCATGCCAAATAATGAAGAAGTTTCTAAATGTAGAAATAATTTGGCGGATAAGCTAAAAAAAATCCATTATTAGTCCAACATGAGGAGAAATTTGAAATGTGAAAGCTACAGTTTCTTGGTTTATCTCTGAGCTTTTCCTTATGATGGACTCGTATTTAATTAAAATATTTATTCAATATTTTCAGTACTTTTTTCGTGTTCACAGTTTCATTGAATGGTCACATGACATGCAGATAAATAAAAAGTTTCATCCTTTTTACTAAATGTTTAATATTTTTATTTTTTTTAATTGTTTTTAGTATAATTGTTAATTTATTTTAATTTTTTAATATTAAATGATTAGCTTTTCATAAACTCACACACGCAAACTCGCACACGCACGCACGAACGCACGCACACACACACACACGCACACTCTCACAGACACACACACACACTCTCACAGACACACACTCTCACAGACACACACACACACACACACACTCACAGACACACACACACACACACACACACACACACACACACACACACACACA